CCGCCGTTCCACGATGAGGCGATAGACCATCACGGGGGTCCTGCCACTTACGTTTGTATTTTGCCAAAAAGTTCGTGGAATTTCGTCTTTTCTACCGTAAATGTATCCATTAGCCCAACTATACCGAGTTTTTTTTAGCATTTTGATATGATACGCTAAGAAAATCCAATGCGAGCAAGTTTGACTGTTATTACCTTGTAACCTTAAGAGACGCGACACGCTAGAGAATAAACTTATCAAAAGTTTGTTATTGCAAGTTCAAGTATGGCGAAAAACAGTTTTTGCACAAGCGGATCACACAGCTACAGCAAGGCACGCGATATTGTCAATAATAGTCATATATCTGATAGTCACACACTGATAGAATTATTTTCTAGTTTTGTAATGAGTGGCTTGCTTGACCACCTTATAAATTAAGTGAAATCGAGCACAGGCAGCTCATACTTTTCCAGAACGCTGACAGTTGTTTTGAGCAGTTGCTGTATGCAGATTATCTGTTCTGAAAGAAAAAGTGGATGTTCAATGGCTGATGGGTCAAGTAGCCTGCAACAAAAGTGAGCTGATCTCTAGGATATTTCTGATCAACCGTGTTCTAAGCTAACATTCAAGAGCATGGCTAGAATTAACCAATTTGTCGCGGAAGTTTGAAGAATTGCGCACAACTTTATCACGCATATTCAACTAGCAAGCGACGCTCCATCAAATATTGTAAGAATATTACTTTATAGACGAGCAAAAGAGAAGAGAAACGTGTTGCAAATACAAATTTTTAGTTGAGAATGTAATAAAGGAAGAAGCGAGAGTGTATAGATATACATTACCAATCTTGATATCAGGAAAGGAGAAAATGCCATACTTTATTTGCTCAAGTTAAAAACTTAAGAGAGCTGAATCTCCAAAAGAGAAATTAAGATTTCCTTAGTCTTCTTTCGGATCTTTTTACATTAAATAGGTTTCAATTTACTTGAGTAAAAAATTTGATGTGCTTGCTTAGTTGAATTTCTATATTATACCCGTTGATAAGATTTTAACGGAAGTCCTGCTTTCCGCAACATGTGGCGAAAGAATCTTGGACTTTTCATATTGAAGGCAGGAGATAGATTAAGTAGATAAAATGAGTGAAAAATGCAACGCACCAACATCTTGTTCACCCTCCTTCCTTATCCTCGTTGCCATTGATGCACAAAATCTACAACCGCCGTAGTTTTTCGGATTGTTTTGAGCTCGTAACGTCACTATTAGTTCATCTTCTAGATGCATTTAGTATTAAATTGTGCTTATTTATATGATTTGAAATCAAGCTACTTGAAATATAATATAGATATGAAGCAATTCCTTGAGACTGCAGTTTCTTAAAGAATGACATCAAGCAAAAGTTTTTTGATCTTGCCTACCTTTTTCTAG